GACTCTTTTCTTACTCCTTATACAAAAATTAAGTTAATATAGATTAAAGATTTAAATGTGAAACCCCAAACCATAAAATCTCTAGAAGAAATCCTAGACAATAACATTCAGGCCATAGGCATGGCCAAAGACTTCATGACTAAAACACCAAAAGCAATTGCTACGAAAATCAAAATTGACAAATGGAATGTAATCAGACTAAAGAACTTCTGCACAGCAAAAGAAACTAGCATCAGAGTGTAGGAGGTCAGTCAGAGAGGCAGAAGAAGCTATAGAGAAAGGAACAGACCTTCTGAAAGGTCAGAAGGCTCTGCATAGCTTCAGGGAAGAATAAGCTGAAGGTAGCTGTTCTCTTACTCTAAGGTAGAGGGCAAGGAATAGGTGCAAGGGAGTGGAGAGGAATTTATCTTAAATAGGCTTGTTTACTTATGTTGTCCGGAAACCTACCTGGGGGAAAGACTGCTTCCCCAAGGGGGAACAATAATGTTAATTACCCACAGATTGTGTTGGCTCCAGGCTTTTTGTATTATGTCTGTACTGAATAAAAGCAAGGAGCTCCAGCTATTCGGGGCTGCTCACTCTTTGGCAGTCCCCTCACTGCTCTCACACTGTATACCTATATCTGAGTACTCCTTTTATCCATTGTTCAGCCATGGTCTGTGGGATAGACCTGGCAATCACAATGAAATGGCAACGTACAAAATGGGGAAAAATTTTTCAATCTACCTATCTATGATCTAATATTCAGAATTTACAAGGAACTTAAACAAATTTACAAGAAAACAACAAACTACTACATCAAAAAGTGGGCAAAGGGTATGAAAAAACATTTCTCAAAAAAAGACATTTATTTGGCCAACAAACGTGGAAAAAAAGCTCATCGTCACTGTTATTAGAGAAATGCAAATCAAAACCACAATAAGATACTATATCATGCCACTCAAAATGGTGATTATTAAAAAGTCAGGAAACAATAGTTGCTGATGTGGCTGTGGAGAAGTAGGAATACTTTTCCTCTGTTGGTGGGAATTTAAATTAGTTCAACCACTGTAGAAGACAGCATGGAAATTCCTCAAGCATCTAGAACTAGAAATACCATTTGACCCATCAATCCCATTACTGGGTGTATATCCAAAGGATTATAAATTATTCTACTATAAAGACACATGCACACATATGTTTATTGCAAAGTTATTTACAACAAAAAAGACTTGGAATAAATCCAAATGCCCATCATTGGTAGAATTGAAGATGTGGCACATATACACCATGGAATACTATGCAGCCATAAAAAGAAATGAGATCCTGTCCTTTTCAGGAACATGGATGAAGCTGGAAGTCATTATTTTCAGCAAGCTAACACAGGAACAGAAAACCAAACACTGCATATTCTCACTCATAAGTGGGAATTGAACAATGAGAACACATGGGCACAGGGAGGGGAACATCACACACCAAGACCTGTTGTGGGGTGGGGTGCAAAGGGAGGCATAGCTTTATGAGAAATACCTAATGCAGATGACGGAATGATGGGTGCAGCAAACCACCATGGCCTGTGTATACCTATGTAACAAACTGCATGTTCTGCACATGTACCCCAGAACTTAAAAGTATAATTTAAAAAATAGGTTGTAATTTATATATCAATTGTTTGTAACTGAGTTTTTCCAAAATGCTTTAAAATAATTCTCTTTAGTCCTTTAATTATCTCCCTGCAATCTGGTTTACACTATCACTTTTCTTAACAACCACTTTAAGACAAGATGGAGAAAGAAATATCAGCCCAGCTCCCATGTGAAACATAACTCAGACTAGATTAAAAGAAGTTATGAATTAATTACATTTTAAAATGCAGAAATGGAGATTGTGCTGAAGAGGAGAAGAATAACAAATTATTTTCTTTGGCTTAAGAGTGTGTTTGATGACTTAGAGGAGCAGAAGCTTTATCTGCCTGATTCTGTTTGCTTTTTCTAATCTGGATTGGTGGCAGGAGGTAGCATATGCACTGAAGTGTGGAGAGGAGTTAGGATATGATTAAAACTTCACTATAGGTAATTGACAATGCAAATGATTCATGTACGTAAATGAATGTTCTAATATTTGCAACTCTACTCTCAATACTACTTTCAATACTACAGACTTAAGATTTCGGTTCCCAAAGGCAAGATGCAAGAAAAAGGTACTTAGCCCCATTCCTGCTATCCATATGTTCACCTCTCCTGTTGTTCCTACCTAGCCATCACAGGGAGCAAGGCCTTATAGGATTTCACCAAGCAGAAGTCAGGAGTTCAAGACCAGACTGGCCAACATGGTGAAACCCAGTCTCTAAAAAAAAGAGAAAAGAAAAATTACCTTAACCTCTCAAAGCCTCCATTTTCTTATCTAGAAAATGGGATTAACATTTTCCTTACAGAGTTATTGGGAGAGTGAGATAAAATAATGTAGAAATAAAATAGTATAGAAAATTTCAGTGCACATTGTAATGCATCATATCTACATATGATTTCTATGAGTTTGTTGATTTGGAGCCTTCCTGTAAAGGCCTATCACATTTAGACCTTACCTGACCCTCATTATTGTAACTTACCTCATATTGCTTTCTCTCCATGTATGTCCGCTCTTCACTTTCCAAAGTGACAGCTAGCTCTTCTTCAGTAATAAAAAAGGCTCATCTATGTAATTTAATCCCTCTCCTACATAATATATGTACATTTTCAGGGGTGTCCTTATAAAGACAATGCTGTTTTTTAGACTAATGACTTTCTGGGCCCTTTTGGTACAGAAGGACTCTCAAATATTGATCATGGGGAGCCTCTCAAATATGTCCCAATGTCCATAACTAGCTCCTTAACGTGGAAGTAACCACATAGAATTCTGTCAGGGCCACAGAAATTTTGTCAATTACATTTGGATCACTTACTCTTTGCTAATTACAGACTAAATGGCTCATACTCTTATTTCAGTAGACCTTAGCAATATATATTGTATGTGTCCCTGTCACAGAGCGAGCTCCAGGCAAACAGGCACCCTTTATACCTACTCTCTATTCTACCAAATGTCTTATTCACAGGACTCTAGTCACGATGAGGCTCTCTGAGCCTAAATATCTCTCATTCCCTCTTGCTCCTTGTGGTGCTGGCTGAGGTTTTATTTTACTGTTTAAAATTTGAGATCAAGATTACTAATATTAGACCTGACTGAATATTGCTTAAATTTTACAGGAAACTTTCTCAGTACTACAAAATGAAGATAGTCCACTTTGTTGTACAAAGGCCAGGTTTCATGGCCCTGATCTGTCACTGCTCAGCATTTCTCACACTCATCAATTCTGGCAACAAAACTGATCTGATCAAGTTGATAGAATAGACAGAAAAGTCAGAAACTACTCAAATAGAAAGGCAGCCTAGAGTGCTACAAAAATGCATGAGGCTGGTTGTCCACAAGCCTGGATTCCAGTTCTGCATCAATTGTTAGCTGGTTTTACAATCTCAAATTTCCTTTTTTCTCTATGTACCTCACTGGGTGCACACACACACACACACACATATAGGGAGCAAACAGTTGGATTTGTTTTCTAAAGCCCTGCCAACACTGATAGCCTTAAATTAAATGATACCGGAAAGTCACTTATTTATGGGCCTTGTACTCACTAGCTATGTGACTTTGGACAGTTTGTTTAACCTCTCTGTTCTTTACTTTCCTCATTGAAACGATGGGCATAATAATAAAAGTGCATTAAAGCGTTGTTGCAAGGGTTAAATACATTGATATATGTAAAAGGAGACTTGCAAATACTAAGTGCTGAATTATTGGCATTATTATTGGCAGTAGTATTTTATCAAGAAGGGCAGGCTACATGATTTCTAAAAGATCTTCCGGTTATAGCATTTCCTAGCTGTTCACGGTGGTTCGCTCCTGTAATCCCAGCACTTGGGAGGCCAAGGCAGGGAGATCACAAAAACAAGAGATTGAGACCATCCTGGCCAACATGGTGAAACCCTGTCTCTACTAAAGGTACAAAAATTAGCCAGGTGTGGTGGCAGGCACCTGTAGTCCCAGCTACTTGAGAAACTGAGGCAGGAGAATTGCTTGAACCCGGGAGGCAGAGGTTGCAGTGAGTCGAAATCGCACCACTGCCCTCCAGGCTTTGAGATTCTGTCTCAAAGCAAACAAACAAACAAACAAAAACTAAGAAACAAAGCAAACAAAAAAAAATTTCCAGAGTTGGAGTTGTTTAATTTTGCATGTTATATGAGACCACAAAGATGAAATAATGACAGTCCTTGTGGAAAAATTTTGAAAAGTGCGAGAAGCAAAGGGAAGGTTCAGAACATGAGATAAGGGCCAGGCACAGTGGCTCATGCCTGTACTCCCAGCATTTTGTGAGGCCAAAGTGGGATGATTGTTTGAGCCTAGGAGGTTGTGACCAGCCTGGGCAACATAGCAAGACCCATCTTTTCAAAAAAATAGAAACAAAGCCAGGCATGGTGGCACACTCCAGTAGTCCCAGCTATTTAGGAGGCTTATGTGGGGGAATCACTTGAGCTCAGGAGGTTGAGGCTGCAGTGAACCATGATCACACAATTTCAGCCTGGGAAACAGAGTGAGACCCTGTCTCAAAGTAAAATAAATAAATATGTTTTAAATGTTGAAAGAAAATGGCCAGGTGTAGTGACTCACGCCTGTAATCCCAGCATTTTGGGTGGCCAAGGTGGGCGGATCACTTGAGGTCAGGAGTTCTAGAACAGCCTGGCCAGCATGGCAAAACCCCATCTCTACTAAAAATAAAAAACCTTCCTGGCATGGTAGTTCCCACCTGTAATCCAAGCTAATCGGGTGCCTGAGGCATGACAATTGCTTGAACTTGGGAGGCTGAGTGTATTTGTCAGGGTTCCCTAGAGAGGCAGAACTAATAGTGTGTATATACATATATGTGTGTGTGTGTATCTATATCTCCTATTATATATAAATATATGTTCCACTATATATATTATATATATATATATATATCAAAGGAAGTTTATTATGTATTAACTTCCATGATCACAAGGTTCCAAAATAGGACTGTCTGCAAGACTGAGGAGAAAGGAGAGACAGCCTGAGTCTCAAAACTGAAGAAATTGGAGTCCAGTGTTTGCGGGCAGGAAACTTCCAGCACGGGAGAAAAATGTAGGCTGAGAGTCTAGGCCAGTCTCGCCACTTCACGTTTTTCTGCCTGTTTATATTTGCTGACAGCTGATTATATTGTGCCCACCAGATAAGGGTCGGTCTGCCTTCCCCAGCCCACTGACTCAAATGTTAATCTCCTTTGGGAACACCCTCAGGGACACACCCAGGATCAATACTTTGCATCTTTTAATCCAATCAAGTTGATATTCAGTATTAACCATCCCATAGAGGTTACAGTAAGCCAAGATAGCACCACTGCACTACAGCCTGGGTGACAGCAAAACTGTGTCTCAATAATAACAATAGTAATGTTTAAAAAAAAATTTAAAAAGACATGAAGTAGGAAATTCTAACTCCACGACAACCCGTTAAGAACATTTTTTTTTAACTCTGGTCATAAGGCAACTAATACCAGGAAATAAATATCTGTATTAATCAAATTTCTCCAAAGTTCTATCAAGTTCTATATATAAACACACACACACACACACACACACACACACACACATATATATATCACATTGGTGCTGCATTCTGTGTGTGTGTGTATATACATATATACATAACAAACTATATATATATGTGTGTGTATATATATATATACACACACATATATATAGTTTATTATATATGTATATATAGTATATATATATACACATACATATATACATATATATATAACAAACTATATATATATGTATATATAGATATATACATATATATATATATATACACATATATATACACACACATTTTGTTTCTCTGGAGCACCTTGACTAATATAGATTATACACATAAATATATGTATAATATGTGGATGATTTGTATATGTATACATACATACACATACTAATACAGATTTTGTACAAATAAACATATACATATATATGTATATAACAATATTTACTATGAGAATTGGCTCACTTGTTTATGGAGGTTGAGAAGTCCCACAATATGTCATCTACATGTTAGAGAACCAGGAAATCAGGTAGTGTAATTCAGTCCAAAACTGAAGGTCTGAGGTGGGTGGTGCTGGTGTAAGCCTCAGAGTCCAAAGGCCCTAGAACCAGGAATTTCAATGTCTGAAGACATGAGAAGATGAATATCCCAACTCAAGAAGAAAGAGCGTCTCCTTTTTCATCTACCTTTTTGTTCTATTTGGGTCTTCAACAGATTGAAAGATGCCCAAACATCTTTCAAAAGATGAAGGTGCATCTTTACTCAGTTTACTGATTCAAATGCTAATGTCTTCCAGAAATATCCTCACACACAAAACCATAAATACTGTTTTACCAGCTACCTGGGATTCTTAGCCTAGTAAAATTGACATATAAAATTAGCCATCCAGGAGAATCACTTGAACCTGGGAGGCAGAGTTTGCAATTTGCTGAGATCGCATGACTGCACTCCAACCTGGTTGACAGAGTAAGACTCCGTCTCAAAAAACAAACAAACAAACAATCAATCAAAAAAATAAATAAATAAAATAATTAGCCAGCATATTGTTATGTTGAACTGGACATAAATATAAAAGACAAATCATATAAGTTGCAAACTAAGTTATTGTTCAAAAATTAATGAACTCTTATTGATGAGTTTATGAGAGCTGTTCCATCCAGACAACTGTCTGAGCATGCTGTTTGTCAGAATCATTAATTTCTTCATTCAATCAATCACATTAATAACAGATACTCTGCTACATGCTGGGGGGATATAGACATTGCTTCTTTTTCTTAGAGATCTTAGTCTTTAGTTAGAGCTATAAGGCACGTACTTGTTATCACTGAATGGGATCTGAATTTGCCTATGATTTTCTCCTGACAATGGTGCTTTCTAGATAGGTAAAGAGCCATCAGATAGACAAGATGAACTGTGTAAACTATTTACTTTATATTAAAATGGGATTTATTTTGAACCTCTGTGCATAAAAAAAATTCATGTAGTAAATACTGATCTATAATTGAAAGGAAAATTTAAAGAAATGCAAGCACCTTGGTACAATTCAGCATCTTCTCACTAATCAACACATATTACAGCAATTGTTTAATATAACTCTGATTTCTCTTTAGCATTAAATTTTTCTCAATAGTCACTTTATGCTTCTCTAGGCTTGTCAGGGCATGAGAATGGCTCTGAGAACTCCACTATGTTTTTCAGGTGTTAAAAACTCCTGCAGCGGTCTGGTACATGCTGTAACTTCTTTGGGGAGTGAGGCTTTTGATAGCCCCAGTTGTTTTTCTTACTCCATCGGTAGTGCATGGCACTTTCACTACACAACTGTCTAATCTCTCTTTGTCTTTTAATGGCAAAAAAATCTGCTTCATTTCAGTACGACTGGACAAAACTTAGATTGTGTCTCTGTATTATGTACGCCTCTCATCAGTGTAAATAGAATTTCTTTTTCCTCGCCAAAAAATATTATATTTATAGTCAATTTTATCTACTTACTTTAGGTATTTAATTGATATTTACCCACCATCCATTCACTCAACATTAATTAAATGCCTACTATGCACTGGGCATTGTTCTAGTCATCAGGGATATAGAGATTACAAATATATCATCTTTGCCCCTGAGGAGCTCCAACTCCAATGTGGAACATGATTTTTCACAGCTTCCCCTTCCTCTCCCGGTAATAATCAACCACTGTGTACCATAGAGCATGGCAAATGTTATGCAAGTAAAAGGAGGTAAATGAGGTATTCAGGGATTTGATCACAGAGGTTCTTTAATTCCACAGAAACAATGAAAAATAATGGAAGGGTTTTAAGTGGGAGAGTGACATAGGGATATCTGTGTTGTAGATAAGTCTCTCAGCAGTCAGGTGGGGGAAATCAACAATTGGAAGTTGCACCAAGGTAGGGAAATCAATTTGAAGATTATTGCAGAAATACAAGGGACAGTTAATGAATTGTGTTACAGAGAAGGGTCAGTCTCTTAGCTCATGGCTAGCCTTTCAGCTCCAATGTAGGGGTTGAGAATAAGACAGTTTCAGTTTTCCCCTGTCATTAGATTCTTTGTGAAAAACTCAAGGGGTAACTAAAATTGTCGCATAAAAAAGTCACAGGTTCCAACAGGGACTTTGGACTAGAATAAGTAAACATTAAGAAAATGTTTTATCTACTTGGGAAAGGATCTTCCTATTGGCTTATGGGAGATAAGTAAGGGATATCTGGGTAGAATACATTTTAATTTCCTAAAAATTATGAAAGAATTAATACATGTATGTGATTGCCAGCATATGTACTGAGAGGCAATACAGGATAGTAAGGTGTAGCTCTATTAGATAGAATAAGAGGGCACCTGTGTTCACATTTTGTCTCTGCCACCAATGAACTGTACAAATTGATGCATATTACTGAACCTCTCATTGGTTCAGTTTTCTTACCTCTAATATGAAAGCAACTGATTTTTCATATGCCAAAAAGTAATCCAAGCACTTTACATGTATTGGCTGATTTAATAATCATAACCACCCTGTAAAGCATTGTTACTATTATTTCCATTTTACAGATGGAGAAACTTAGGCAGAGAGTGGTTACATGACTTACCCAAGGTCACACACCTCATATGGTGTGTGAGACAGAGCCAGGATTAGTCAGAAGCTATGATCTTAATCACCATGCAATACTCCTCTCACAAATGGTAAAATTAATACTAACCCAATTCATGGTGGTGTTATGAAGATTAGAGTTATTATTTTAAAAACACTTGAAACACCACCTGTTACTAGAGAAGGTATTCAGGGTTAGTTAGTAGTGGTAGCAGTGGTTATAGTAGTATAGTAATTGGAGTAGTAGTTTTAAAATAGTAATAGTAGTAGTCATAATGTCTCATATGGAGCCCATGCAGGATCATATTATATTAGAAGCAAATTCATACATTAATTCAAAAAATATTGGGTACCTACTATCTGCCAGACACAGTACTAGTGCTGGGGATACTGTGGCGAACAAGACAGAAAAGATTCCTGACTGGCAATAATCTTCCTCAGCTTTCCCTGTATAGTCTTGTCAGATGCATAACTCTAAAGCAGTTCTCTGCTCAGACAAAGACATTCATAAGATTTCCTTAAACTTGAACTCTTTCTCACCTCAAGCATGGCTATTCACTGCTTTTCCCCTTCCCACTATTCTATCTTCCTCTCCTGACATCCTATATCCCTTTCCTTTACATTCCTTTCTACATTTGCTGCTCTCTTTCCATCCCTTATTTCTGGTTCTACATAAATTATCTTCCCACCTCTTCCATCCTATAGCTCTTATTTCCTCATGTGGTTTCAAGAGCATGAGAGGGTGAGACAAAGTCTCTGGGAATGAACTAAAGAACCAAGAAGCAGGTGATCCATCTCTCCCTCACTCCCAGGAAGGCTCTCTGATGGCCTCTCTGGATCACTCATGGGGCCCTGATATGGTTTGGCTGTGCCCCAACCCAAATTTAATCTTGAATTGTAGTTTCCATAATCACCACATGTTGTGGAAGGGAGCCAATGGTGGAAGGTAATTGAATCATTGGGGTGATGGTTTTATAAGGGCTTTTCCCCCTTTGAATAGCTCTCATTCTTTCTCCTGCTGCCTGCCCTGTGAAGAGGTACCTTACACCATGGATGTAAGTTTCCTCGGGCCTTCCCAGCCATGTTGAACTGTAACACAATTAAACCTCTTTCCTTTATAAAATTAATTAGTCTCAGGTATGTCTACTGGCAGCATGAAAACAGACTAATACAGTAAATTGGTATTGGGTAGTGGGGTGCTGCTATAAAGATACCCCAAAATGTGAAAGCAACTTTAGAACTGGGTAACAGGCAGAGGTTGCAACAGTTTAGGAGTTTCAGAAGAAAACAGAAAGATGTCGGAAAGTTTGGAACTTTCTAGATAGTTGTTCAGTGGCTTTGTTCAACATGCTGATAGTGATATAGACCATGAAGTCCAGGCTGAGGTTGTCTCAGATGAAAATGAGGAATTTTTTGGGAACTGGAGTAAAGGTGATTGGTGCAAGGATACTGGTGACATTTTGCCCCTGCCCTAGAAATCTGTGGAACTTTGAACATGAGCGGTATCTGGCAGAAGAAATTTCTAAGAAACAAAGCATTCAAGAGGTGACTCAAGTGCTGTTAAAAGCATTCAATCTTATGTAT